CATGTCCTATCGGGAACAAATCTACCAAGTAATGATCCCCACTCTACGGTGCTAACAGTGGGGTGTGAGACAGAATCACACAGGCCATGATAACGGACCATGGAACGGTTTTCGTTAGCCAATAGATCTATTCAAGACCACACATGCCTTAACCACACACTATGCACGATCAAGATTGACATAAAACAGCCGATAAAACATAACTCATCATTTAAGATGCAGATTAGATCAGTTTAGATTAATAAACGATGGGTTAAATAGGATATAAGGCCAATCTAGATCAATCCCAATCGGGCGAAGTGATATTGCTGTAATTAAATAAATAATGAAAGCAATAAGCAATATCGGTAACTTAATGAATCTATCCGAAGAACGCCACCCTTAGATAGAGCCAATAACTTGACCTTAATCTAGTTCGAGCAGTGGAGGTCGACCGGATCGATGCAGTCGTACTTGAACTAAACAAGAGTCGATAACTAGCTTATACCAGAGTCACAGTGGAGGTCGACCGAATCTATGCAGCCGTACGAACAAAAGTATAAGCCATGATGGTACTTATAGACAAGCCGGAGGTCGGCCAAACCGATGCAGCCCTGCTCACTGAAGAACTCGCCGAGATCTACTCTACTCCTACTCCTAAGGGGTGGCCAGAGCCAAAAAAAGTAACTTGTATTTGATTGATTGTGTGTCTTTACAAATAGCTGGGGTTTAATATTTATACCCGGAGCCTAAACATGAATCCTTCTCAAGTACGACTCGGTATAATCTTTGGTATGAAGAAAACATTCCTATCTGAAGATAACTTGGACCCTAATCTTTCCCCTTTTGTAGAGTCCGATATGTATTCTTCCTGATGCCAATCATAGCTCATCATCGTTATCTGTTGGCGTCATTCAAAGAGAGCCGATTCCAGTGTCGCATCCGAACCGGCTGATATCGATCCTCATGCAATCGATTCCTTAATTGGCACAATCTTGGAAGTCTGCGAGTTCCCGCGTTCTCCAAATTTTGGTGTAAACAGTATGCTGGTCCCACTTGATCAACTGGCGCTCCAAAGAAAACTTCTTTTAAAACATTGCCAATTGTATTGGCTAACACTTTGTTGTGGTTCGTAAAGGCTTCGTGAATAGTCTTATAGACTAAGTGAGCAGTAGTTCTCGCTTTAACATCTTCACTTTGTCCATGTAGGAGGACGCTTGGTAGGGGAGTCTTCTGGACGACTGAATCGTGTATCCTACTGTAACACAGTAGGCACTTCTCTTTGAATTCTTCCGCCGCCTGCTCAATGAGTGCCTTCTGGTCATCAGGCAGGTCATTAAGGTTGACCTTGAGGATCGTCTGATTATCCATGTCGATGATTGTGGTCCCACCGGGCGTGCCAAGATGTGTCGACGGCAAAAAGTGACAGGGAGCCATCGACATGAGCAAGTTGAGAGAAACCGCATGGAGCAGATCCCGAGCTCTCTCCGGGCTTAAGGCGGACACTGGACCGGATGGTCGTGACCGAGGGCGTGCTAGTCAATTTGACCCTGCAATTGATAAGGAAGAAATTGATCAGTAATTTAAGGTGGAACATGCCGGTGTTTGTCCAGACAGTTCCCAATATGCAGCTAAGTAGCCGATGAGATAAGGCTATCGACTAGAGAGTCGATATCCAGCATGTTCATGATGTAATGTAAATAAAATTAGTATATCGACAATTATCATTTACTCAGTTACATAGATCTAACTTAGCCGATGATCATGAAAACATGGAAAAGATGTAAGGATAGGCGTGTAAGCATTCATGTGAGAAACATACTAGCTTTTAACTAAGATGAAGACAAATAAAAGCATGTAAATAGCCAGTACATCCTCAATAAAACAAGCTATCGGCTAAAACAACCGATTCCAGTGATCTTGTCATATAGCATACGATCGCTCACCCATTGGATATAAATAAATCTACAAACAACTAGACTCAATCTATTGTACCGTCAATAAGTCAAGTCGTCTGATGCAGCATTGACAGTGGGACCCTAGATCAGAGACCAGCAGTCGATAGATCTACTTATATCGCAAAGAAATCGCGAAGGCATATTATACGCATGGGAGCTCATGTCATCAGCTAAATAGCCGATGGAGACATAGCGGGTGGTTGACGCCATGCTCTTCTTAATAGATAGATCTATTAACCGACAATGCCCATTGTAACACGCTATCAACAGGTCGAGTCGGCTGATGTAGCATTGATAGCGAAGTCATACCGGATGCTGGAGAACAATGAATCTATCTCTTAATAGAACACGACTTCAAACACCCGCCATTTATGATCAAGATTGAGATAGATTAGTCATCAAACAGGATCTAACGTCAAAGATCGAACCCAATCGTAAAAGATGTCTAGCAGACGATTGATCGAAATAATAAGACCAATGAATCTCAATCTAGATCTGGCAATTGGTGATATTATATTAAACAGTAAACTATTTAACACAATATCGATAACTTTGATTAATTCCAACGTTTCCAAGAGATCAGACGTCTGTTGTAGTCTTATAAAGGTTGATACGAATCGATAACTAATCTATACTGCGATTTGTAAGAGATCAGTCATCTGTTGTAGCCGTACAAATAACAATATAGATCAATAACTAACTTATACCGCGACTTACAAAAGATCAGTCGTCTATTACAGCCTCACAAGTAACAAAAGATCAGATGGATACTCACAAACAAGTCAGAGGTCAGGTCGTCCGATGCAGCCCTGCTTGCCCAAAGAACTCGTCGAAATTTACTATACTCCTACTCCTAAGAGGTGACGTAAGTCGAAAAGTAAATGTACTTGTTTGGTTGATCGATGAGAGATATCCATTACAATAGCCGGGGTTCAATATTTATACCCGAGGCATGACTATGAATCCTGGTCGGATAAGACCAATCACAAAACTTTAAAAAAAGAAATGAAACATCCTAATCTAAGATAACTTTGACTCCAATCCTCCCCTTCTGTAGAGTCCATTACAATAGTCGGGGTCTTCTTGAGATGCCGATGCTATTGAAATCCCGCCGACTCCAATCAGTGTCTTGTCCAGCCGTCTATGTACTTACAACGGCTTTTCTTGATATATGCTGAATCATGGAGTCTTATGCAACGAACCAAATTATGGTGTCAACAGATTGAGTCACCAGAGTAGACGTAGCTATTTCAAGTGCTACTTAACGAGGATGTTTCTTGCAATACAACGGAAACACATTTTATCATAGGTAAGTTAGAGCAAGAAGAATCTAATAACCTGCTTAGCTCAATCGATGGCTAACTGCTCTACTCTATGAGCATGTCCATGACCATCGTTTTCCCATGCTGGAGGTGGTCGAGGACGACGACATTCTGCGTGGGGTTGCCCACGAGGTAGTGGAGGAAGTCGGTGGACGTGGCTGCAGGCTGCAGCTTGGGTCCCAGCAGCGCGATGATGAGCGACTCAGGCAGCTGCTCATCCTCGTCCATGAGGAGTGCCTCCACAGAAGTCCTATACACCTCCTTCGCAGTGGGAGCACGACGTGCTAGGACAGCCGGACAGGTCACCCTCGTCGAGGACAACGTCCATGAGCGCATCAGGGCGGAGGATGACGGCTAGATCTATTGATAGAGTTTGTTTTTCAAAGCGTTAATCAATTCTACTAGTCAAACAGTAATCTATTCTAATGACCTAGAGGTGATATATATATCTGAAGAAACAAGGCCTGGATCCACTCGTGAGGAGAGTAGTCATCAACCAGATGCATTATATGTGAAATCCAAGGGTGACAAACTAAGATGGATAGAAGAATTTAGATAAACTTTATTTCTTAATTTCTTCGCTTTTTTATAGTTTATTATAGATTTAGATTAAAATAGATAGATAGGTGACAAAATTCGGTAATGCTGCAGAATATATGTCCGGGATATTAAAAAAATCGAACGCTCTGCTCCGCGCTCGATCCCTCTGCCTGGGCCGAATGACCAGCAGCCCAACTGACCACCCAACTTATTCCCTCCCTCTCTCTTACACACAGGCCTAAACGTTAACTGCTCTTCTCCTTCCTCCAGTCAGGAAATGCAGCCGCTGCCTGCTCATACGAGAGCACGTGTGCTGCTTCCTGCGCCTGCTCCTCAACCCAGCCCACACCCACTCCCCGCCGCCCACCTTGACGGGCCACCGCCGCACGCATTGCTCCCCGTCCCCACACCCCGTCGCTCCTCGCGGGTATCTTCTCCGACCTCACTGATATCGACGGCTCCTTTCGGCCACCGCGTGTGGCCAGGCGGCCAGGAACAGGGTCATCGCTGGCCGGCCTAGGCTAGCGAGCTGCCAAGCCGCGCGTCCATCCTCGGCCATTGGCTTGCCGGAATCGGCCGTTCCCCCGCTCTGTGTTGCGTCATACATACAGAAGAAAAAGGGTGAAAATACATGTTGCAAGAATATGTTTTAAGTGTTTCAAATGTTTCAGAGGTATGTTGCAAATGTTGTATATGGATCGGACCTCCAGGCGCTAACAAGTAAATTAGGTGACCAATTTATTTTTCTTTGGCAGTAACGTAATTCAAAAGGAACGGTATGGTCTTGTTGGCCGCTCTCGCATGCTTTGCCTTGTGACTCCAAATCTCCAATCGTACCTTGTTATGGCTTTCTGACCGGCCGATGGATGGATCGCCTTGACCCTCCTATGTTTGCTCGCTCTCTTGTGACTGCAATTGGTGCACCATCACCACCACCTCCACATTCACTAGACCCATGCTCCTCTTCATGCGTCGCCCATCCCCTCGCCTTAAACGGCATCACGAGCGTTCAAGTAACGACCGTGCACGTCGCAAGCCGTGCGCCCGTGCCCCCGCCGCGCGCACGTACGTACGTTTATACTTCTCGCCTACAGCTACCAGACCGTCATGCCATCAGAGATCAGAGACCGGCAGGTAGTGAGCTCGATCGCTCTTCCTGGTAAAGTCAGTTGAGTTGCCCCTCGCCTCGATCCACGACGTGATGCGCCGTCGCGGGCTCCCCAGCTTCTGCCACGGCGTCGCCTCCACCTCCACGGTGCAGCAGCTCCACGGCAAGGAGCTGGCAGCCGCTGGCAGCGCGGCGGGCGCGGACGCAGCATCCTCGTCCTTCGTTACCGTGCAGCCGTCGGTGGTTGGTTCGTGCGTGGCGGAAACCGAGGTGAGCGGCACCGGCATGGGCACCGGTGGCAACGGTGGTGGTCCGGCGGTCACGCTTGAGCAGATGATCCTGCAGCTGGACCTGGAGGAGGAGGCCGCCAGGAAGGTGCGGCGCGCGGCGGCGGGGGAGGGGACGTCGACGGAGGAGGGCTGGTGCCCACGGCGGATGTCCTGCGTCGACGGCGGAGGTGGCCCGGCCGACCACGTGCTCCGGTCGGCGCGGGACGCGCTGAGCCAGTACCCGCGCTTCTCGCTCGACGGCCGGGACGCCATGTACCGCGCGTCGTTCAGCGGCTTCTACGAGGGCATGGGCCGCGACCGCGGCCGCGACGCCAATAATGCCGGCAACCGGCCAGCCAGGGCTTCGGTGTGCTGCGCCGCCGGAGCGGGGTGCGCGGCGCTCGCGTGCAGCGTGGGGGGATACGAGATGGACTTGGAGCGGACGCTGCGGTTGCCGGCCACCGTCGCCGGGGAAAGCGTGGTGTGGTGCAAGCCCGGCGTGGTGGCCAAACTGATGGGGCTGGAGGCCGTGCCCGTGCCGCTCAGGGGAGGGCTCCGGCGGAGGAAGGCGAGCGGGCATCAGGTGGCAGCTTGTGGCGGCGTCGGCGGTGGCATCAGGAAGCAGAGGCCGCGGAGGACGGGGCAAGACGAGGAGCTGGCCTTGCATAAGGAGAAGCTCTTCATGGCATTGCATGGCTACGATCTTGACGGGACGGGCGGGCGTCATGCTGGGGGCGTCCGGTCCGGCGTGGGGACCGATGCCGTCGGTGCCATTGGCGCGGACGGCGATGGCGGCTGGGAGTCCCGGCTTCGTCGTTGACAGGAAAGTATATGGGACTGCCGGACTGGTGTTGATGTACGCCGTTACTTGTTACTGTATATGGCTACCTCTTCTTTTTGTGTGGTTGCCTGACACTTAAACTCGTATAGAACTGCGGTTATATATATTTATAATTTTATATATACAGTTTCTCACATGAATAAATATCCTTGTAATATTGTCCAGATTAGTGCAAGAGACACATGCAGTTCTCGTAAAATTTGCAGGAATTAATCCTAACAATCGTGCACTCCCAGTACTGTTATCTTTGAGTCTTTCCTATGGAGGTATTGTTGAAAGGGAATTTTGTAGCTAAAATTGTGAAAATGCAAAAGTGGACATTTATGTGCTCTTATCTTTGAGTCTTTAAAAAAACTCCTTGAATTCATTAAAGTTTCAACAATCATTTGAGGGTCTTCAATTTGAAGGTAAGGACTACTAGAAATTGGAACTTAATCTGGAGAAAAAAAGAAAGAGGAATCTTAACTTTCAGAAGTTGAAATCCTCAACTAAGAAGGTAAACGGTTAATTTGAGGAATGGATTGATTCATCACATCCGCACTCACATTGTTGTTTGGTATGAGAAAAATAATCAATGGGTTGATCCATCACCTCACAATTATATGGTTAGCAAGGGATCACACAACAGGTTGGACTAGCTGCAAGTAGAGCAAAAACTTACCTGCAACACATTGTCTGATGGGTACTCCCTCCCGTTCCCTAAAGCAAGTCGTTTTACGGTTGTATTAAGTTAAACGTTTTAAACTTTGACTACAAATATTTTTTTTTTGATTGAGTTTGAAAACATAAAAGTGATGTAAGTAGATTCATCTCGAAATGTAGCTTCATAAAAGTATATAATGACTATATTTTATAAATATTTTATAGCAAGAAGTAGCAAAAGGGGTAGGAAACATCTCCAAAACGTTCACATATATCCAATCGTCAAAAATACAACATATTAACTCCTTTTGCCCTAATATCTCTCTTTCAAAACCTCCTGCTGTTCGTTGAGTTTCCCTACGAGATTCAGCGGCATCCTAGGCAGTCTTGCTGGTTCTAGGAGATCCTCCACGTGCTCCTCCCCAATGGGTCCTCACGGGAGAAGTTCGGGAGCATTTTCAGCCAAGAACATGCTCTACATCGGCCTTATCGATCTCTAGATCGGTTTGGTCGATTGCGCTGTGTTCTTGCTGCATTGCAGATTGATCTACAACCTCTTTAGGCGCCTAGGGCCCTGCTGGTGTGTTGGCTTGGGGTTATCTTCAACGTTAACATACTTTTTGATGACTCCGCTGGGGAAAGCGAAGCAATCCAGGATTCAATCTAAGACCGGCATGGGAAGCAAGGGTGATGATGTAGGTGAGAAGGGCGATAAGACTCGCGTCCCTCATGATGCTAGCATCAACCATCCTGAGACCGTCGAAGCGCTTCCCGAGGAGCTAAAGCAACAAGTAGAGGCCAAGTTCAACACCATTCTGAATACTTTTCTTTAGAGTTGCACTAAAGATCGGCGGGACAAGGTCACCCAATACAAGGAACCAGATTTCAGCGAATTCATCACTTCTACATCATCTGCACATGTTGCATCTGAGGTAAGGATCACTAAACCCAAATACGATAAAGATCCTTATCCTACGCATGCCAATTACGCTACTATGATGGATGATCATAAAAAAGTAATTGATAATAATCTTTTAGCTGCGGTAAATATGATCATGGCTCATTTTGATAACTTAGAAGAGAAAACAACCGATCGTGTGGTATGCCTTTAAATTTTATGAGAACCAAGGATTATATGCAGCAGCAAATAAAGGAAAATCGGACCCTTCGGCATTTGAAACCGATAAGACCGGTTTAGCCGGTGTTGCTCCATCTTCACAATTGGTTATCTATGATCAAAATTCAGCTCGAAACACATGAACCAATCAAAGATCAGCAACAAACCGAGCTTCGGTAGGGCAAAACACGGTTCTTCCTAACCCGCCCAAGTCACTTGATAATACACCTACTGCTCCTACTACCGATTTTAGTGATACTTTGAATCGGTTTGGAGAGGAATTGTCTAAATCACTTGAGGAAAGTTTGGGTGTACAAATCAAGCCTAGTAGGACTACATACCGCAAATTGTACCCTTCGCATTTTGATTTCATGAAAGCACCTGATGGGTGGAGGATATCTTATTTTAATAAATTTAGTGGTGATGATAGTAAGTCGACCATGGAGCATATTAACATGTTTCTTACACAACTAGGTGAAGCTAGTGCTTATGATTTCATGAAAGTTCGTAATTTTCCTTTATCACTTACTAGCACATCTTTTGCATGGTTTACTTTATTACCATCTTGCTCTATTGGTTCATGGGGTGAATTAGAAGAGAAATTTCATAATCATTTTTACAATGGTGCTCATGAAACTAGATTGTCTCACCTTGCATCGGTTTGTCAAGGGTGTGATGAACTTGTCCTTGATTTTTTCAAACGGTTTAGAGAAATCAAGAACCAATATTTTCATTTGATGATTTCAGAAAGAGACTGAACTGATTTATGGTTTGCTGGTTTGCATCCTAGTATTAGGGAGAAACTTGAGCATTATGAATTTGTTAATGTAAATCAATTGTTATAAAAGGTCGTTTCGATTGAATCGCGTCTTAAAGAGTCTCGTGATGCTTACAAGTCTCATCGTTAGAATGTGCATTTTGTTGGTGATTGTTCCGATGATTCTGATGATGATAATAAAGAACTTTTAGCTGCTAAAATTAAATGGCCAGTAGAAAATAAATTGGTTACTTCTTCTTCTCTCAAACCGATTCATAAGAATCGGAATGAGAAAATGAAATTTACTTTTGATTTCTCTAAATGTGACCGAATCTATGATGAATTATTGAAATTTGGTTATATTACAATTAATTATACATTGCCTTCAGCTAATGAGTTAAAGAGACATGCTTATTGCAAATATCATAACTCATTTTCTCATGACACTAATGATTGCAATGTTTTTTGTCGACAGGTCCAATCGGCCCTTAATGAGGGATGATTGAGTATTACTGAGATGCAAGTTGATAAGTCCCTTTTCCCATGCATATGGTTGAAGCAGGGGCACCCGCTGTTTTGATTCGTCCAGAGCAAGCCGATAAAGCTCAAGGCAAGAATGTGATTATCGGTGAACCACGTGTAGCACCGAATGTCGAAAAGAATTCGGGGCGCAAGGTGGTGCTTGAGAAGGATGATGAAGGCAAGAACAAGCTAAAGATCACCGCTGGGTCAACGCAATACTTGAGAAGGTAGTGATGGTACAAAATAGCGGCGACACAGCAGAGGCCAGCTAGGCCGACTCTACTAGTCGGCCAAGCCGACTCCATTGCGCAGCAGAGCCAGTCGGGTCAACTGAACCAGGGGGTTGGCTTAGCTGACTCCTACCCTACCTCAGCTAAGTTGGCTAAGCCAACTGCCCGAGTCAGCTGGTTCCAGCAGCCCTAGTTCCTCCGGTGTTCGTGTTTTGCGCATGTTGTTCCGCAACGGCTGGGGTTTGGTACTTGGAAGACCAATGAAAAGAAGAACTAGGAAGAGCTCATGAAAAAGCAATGTACCTTTGATAGGCTCATGACCAAGTATAAACATCAAAAGGCCAATTCCTAGAATCGCCCATTAAAAAGAGAGCCTACTCCTCCTAAGTGAGAAGATGACAAGTCCAAGCAATTGGCGGTGGTGCAACCAATAGCTCCACCTAAGAGAGTTGCTCCTCGTGTATCTCGTGGAGGTCCCCCGATTCCACCCCCCGTCATGCCACAATGGGGTCCCTATGGAGTTTGGGTGCCGTATCCTCCAGCAGCACCAATGCAAGGTCAACAAAGATGGGGAGAATCTGCTGGTCAAGTCCCAAGGACCTCCATGTTTAGCCGATTGAACAATGGTCAATCGGGCTCCGGTGGTGCAAGTCAAAGCAATGTGATTACTGAGACTTTGGCTCTGCAAGGATCAGGAAAGGCACCATTGCAGCAAGTTTATGTACCTAAGAAAGTTGAGGCTCCTATCATTCCCCAACCAAGAGCTAGGCCTCAATCAGTCATCACAATTGGCTCCATGGAAGCTCCTATCACTAATCATGATGGGCTGATTGTAATTGAAGAAATTCTAGCATCTAAGAAAGATGAAGCTCCTAAATAAGTTGCTAGAGTTGAAGAGGAGAAGGGTGCTGATGGGGATTCTAAGTACCGACAACCCATATGGTGTCCTCGTGGGTTGAATAAGACTCAACGGCGCAAGTTGCAGCGTGCCCGGTATAAGCAATAGAAGAGGGAGAGACTTGCCAAGATGGAGGGTGAAGTCTTCAACCCCAAACACGTCGAAATCCTTTCAAAAGATCAAAATGCTGCCGCTGCTGCTGGCCAGCCGACTAACACCCCTGTTGCTACTCTGGGAGGTCCAGAGTAGGCTAAGACAACTGAGGAGTCGGCTAAGCCAACTGTTGTTGCCCCTGCTGTTCTAGAAATTCCAAAGTCGATTAAGCCGACTTCCGAGTCGACTGAGTCGGCTCCTGTTGTCCCGGGTGCCTGCAAGATGTCTTCTAATGATTTTACTTCCACTATTGCTGCCCTAGTAGGCATGGAGGTCCCTGAGGTTCCTGATGAGGAGATGGTTGATTATGAAGCCACTCCAGAGAGGGCGGAGGTCAATGTGGTTGTTTTATCTGCTGATTACTATATCGTGGCGGATGATTCTATGGTGGCGGAGTTTAATTTCGCAACGGAGAGCATTGTATTTCAGAAACCAAATGACTCCACCAACAATCTCAAGCCTCTACATGTGAAGGGCCATATCAATGGCACACCAGTCCATAGCATGTTGGTGGACAGCGGGGCAATAGTTAACTTGATGCCATATTCGCTTTACAAGAAGCTCGGTGGCACTGATGAGGAGCTAATCAAGACCAACATGACCATCAGTGGTGTTGGAGGAGGTGCTCCTATCCCATCCAGAGGAGTTGCTAACATGGAG